TACATCTTCGAAAACACCAACGCTGATAGACCAATCAGAATTGGAAGACCGCTTGTGTTTTCGCGATTACACACGTTGTGATGTGATTGATCAGATTATGTAATAAACGAAATAAGTATATTGTTTAACGAGCACGGAAAGATAGTGATTTCCTACGAGAATAAAGTTTGCAGCATGAGCCATATTGGCGAATGCTGCCATAATTTTTCTACGGCTATAATAGATAACAGCGACATATTCGATTTCTTCGGCTTGTAGCCATTTGATTTCCTGTCAAGTAATGCTCATCTATTAGACGGCGATGTCATTGCTTCACATTTGACATTCCATGAGCGATGAGATTTTTTTGAAATAATAACCCGGAAAAACCACCTTAGAGTTTTCCGATTTCCTTCATATTTTAATGACATGATATTGTTTTGAGTACAATAAAATGGCGAAATATCAAGTCGATATGTCAAAGGGTTCCGGAGAAATATCGATTTATGATTACCACAGAGTACAGACAAACAGACAGACAGACCACACACATAAACCAAAGTTGCTCGAAATTCTATGGGGATCATTTTCTTCTAGCATTTTTGGCAAGTCCGTAGTATACTCCACTATATAAGTATAGCGTAGTATAACCAATAGCCGTAGAAAGGTTTTACCCCTATACATATTCTTGGGTCTGTAAATCTTCTATGGTTTTGAACATTGCAAACATTTGAACTTTCTCCATGTTCAGCATTTGAAAAATAAAGTGACATCTTGAGTGCAAGAATCACACGTCACATCATGAAATGAAAAATAGGGCACGGCTACTAATATCTATCTAGAATTTCGATCAAGAACTAACATTTCAAATCATCAAATAAATCAGTGTTAGTGGTACTGTGCTTTTTCTCGTTCGCTCTTTTCTGTCAATTTTTACCCAACAATAATGTACAAAAAATCTATTTACATGAATCCAGTTGGAAGTACTGTTTACTTCATCAGTCAGGTCGAAATTGAAAATTCATTCGAACGTTTCTGTTTCATATTTCTTCATTGAACCGGTCAAAGTGTCGTGCCCTGAAATTGAAGAGCAGTCCTTATGGCATTTCGTCAGATCTTTCTGATTCTGATAAAAATTCTCGCGAACAGTGATCACAAAGTGAACTCTTTAGAAATCAGTAAAACATGAAGTTTTCCTATGTCCGGATCTGGATTTTTTCCATAAGGTGCCATCGTGAATAGTTTCGATAGAGAAACGTAGCTGCAAAATTTCAGCAAATTACGATGGGTCATTTGTCAAATGGCAATTTCACATCGTAGTAGATGGATTTTTTTTCATATACAGCGTCCCACACTTGAAAAAACGCTTTTCTCTTTCTATATCTTAGTTATTGGTCGTGCGATTTTTACCAAACTTGGACTGGTATTCTCTATCTGGGGTTCTATTAAAATAAAACGGGGTCGATTTTTCATGAGAAGGCATCTTTCAACACGAAAACGAACCTCATAATATTGTTCTTCATCGTTATGAGAATTTTCACATGAATTCTATGGAGGGTATCAGCATCAGCATTTTTGCGAACGTAAATTAGTATTCTATGCAACGATCACGAGGAAACCATGTATATAGGAGTGTATTGATAGTTCAATATCATGATAGATTCAAACCCTATTTTTTGTAGGACCACAAGTCGGAAGTGACAACTTCGATGGCCCGTATTGTATTTCCAATTTTTTTCAGACAATACGGGGAAATCCGAATAAAGTTATATCAATATGAAAATATTGATAGAGAAATTTGACATTTGCGACTAAGAACTTTCAAATTGCATCTCATCAAAAGTATTCATTACTCACCCTGTGTATTATAAATGATGTGAATGATTTTCGTAATCCGAGCGAGAACACAATATGATCAGATCGACTATCGGTGACTTCGATGCATGTATTACGCCATTCAATACTCGAGAACATATATAACCGCCATCACATATCAACATAAATAGATATTTTGAATTGACTCGGCCGTACCAGTATACCACCTGACGAAGCTACTGTATTAGCGAAACATGTCGTGTGTTTGAGAATTTTGTGAAGTTTTTACATAAATAGATATACCTACACTGGTACGCGTGCTTCCATGACGCGAGTCTGCCGGTTTACTCTCATCCCAGAAAATGCCTAACTGGTCTATAGAAATTATCGCTCCAAAAATCAATTAATTTCTCACTATTTATATTTCAGCATTCTCCAACATCATAAGTACATGAATTGCATGAACTTTTGACGCATTCGCGTTGTCATTATGATTTTCATTTGGAATTAAATGTCAAACAACTCAAGCAAGTGAGATAGAAACATAGACCCACTTGATTATACCCCAGTACTACGTGTTTTTGTGGGCCAAAAATGTGTTATCATGATGAAAAGAACGTGTCTTCATTGGTTAAGATCTGTATCATGATATAAATCCGAGATAATTAATTCGCTTCTCATAAAATGGGAGTAGGAAAAATTATTCATTCGGAAAAGATGAGTTCAACAAAAAAAGTGTGCCTCGTTTTTTTTATGTAAACCATAATTTTCTACCTACTGGTGCTATTGAACGTTCCAGAATTTGCGGTTAATTAGAATTCATTATTTATTCGGGGCTGATAATGAAGAGAGAAATTTGACCCATTCTATAGTATTATAAAATTATTGAATTTTTGCACATGGAGCGAGGTTCGAAAACATGAGTAACATACTGTAAAGTTAGTCCCTACAAAAAATCCTGATTTATGAAACCCATTTCAATTTCAATAAAAACGCACGGCACTGTCCATAATGATGTTTCTTTTCCTAAAAACTGATCATATCAATGGCAATTCATACAAGTCCAAATTTGGTTAGAATCGCACGATTGATAGCAATAATAGCTGAGATATAGAGGAGGGGGGGCGTTTGAAGTGAGACATGCTGTATATAATTATATATTATACATATATCAATTCGTCTTTACCCCGTTCTGCTGTTCACCATTTGACTATCTGAGTCTCCCCATGAATCACAAAAACCTGAACTTCGAAGTAAACACTCGAAACACTCGCGAAGTCTACCGCTACCGCAATTGGTCAAAAAGTTCATTACACGAATCCCATTATAGGCGGTATTTTCTATATAATACAAAATATCTTCTCTACCCTTGAAAGTCTCTACTTATGTGGAATTCGCCGCATCAAAAGAAGTCTCTATATCGTCAACCGAAATGCGGCTCGCCCTTTTGCCGACAAACGTTTCACATCGCACCTATGACATCATCTGATGTTTTTATTTATCATTTCGGAGAGCAGGATTCACGGACATCGTGCTATACTTCCTTACTGGAATGCTAAAATTATCTTATAATCCCCATTCGATAATATAAAATAATGTATGGATATTGTGGACAGTATAAAAGTACCCAAGGAATAGGATGAAGAAACAGAAATGATGAAAAATGATATAGATAGCTGAAGTACAAACGTAAATGTGTCGTACTTTTTGAATCACACTGGTAAAATCTCAAAAACGCAAAATAAGCCTGTATTCCAATATTGAAACACAGTTTTCAGCATTCTCCGGTGAGGACGCTAGGAATCGGTGTCGAAATATTGGAAAACATGGGATCGCGCGCCCCCACTTTTCCCCCTCTAAAAATTTTTTTTTCCTTAAACAAAAAATACTGGGCTCTTCACAAAGGATGAACGGATGTTTCTCTGGAAGCGGATTTTGAGTTTTTGTCTTAGTTTTTCCAAAAAAAAATTCTGAATATACTCGAAAAATGCAATGTTCATGATTTTTTTGCAGAATATCGGTGAATTTTTTCAAAATTCTGCTCCCAGAGAAACCTAGATATTTCAATTCTCCATCTCACCATATTTTTTGTTTTCCGAAAAAATCAATATTGAACAATGAAAAGTGGGGGCGGAGAAAACATGTTTTCATTGCACTGATGCATGGTGTATCCTCCTCTTAAGGAAAGAATTGAAAAAACAATAATAATCCAGAACCTATAGAGCATCCAGAGGGATGAACTCCAGAAATGCATTCGCCTTCGTTCGGCCATTTCAGAGACTCTTCAAGAGCCTCTTCAAGAGCTACGATTCGCCGTTCAAGGAGAATTTCAGGTAATTCTTCAATACTACTTGAGAAATTTGATCTACTTGATGCCACGGCGGTTGAGAGCTGTAATTCAAACTCGAGGGCAGACTCGCTATTGACTACAAGCCTGGTTTTTGTTTGTTTTTTCTCATTGAGTTTTTTTTCCGATGAGTGCTAAGAAAATGAGGTAGAAATGAGTTTGATTGATTTTTCAGGCTGTTATTCAATGAGTTCATGTGGGTTCTGATTATTGTTAATATAGATTGAAAAATGCTATACTCTCTTAAAACACTCGTATCTTCTCTTTAATATAAGATATTGACGTGAATCAAAAACAATTGTCTTGAAAAGGGATCACACTTCAATACGAGGTTTAATGAAGCCACGTTCAACCACTCAAATCTGCCACAGGGCGTTAAGAAGTGAGGGGTGAAAGGGTAACTTTTGTTTTTCCCTGTATAATAATCAAGTCATCAGCGTCCGACGGCAACTAATATCCAGCCTAACATTTCGGAAAATTATTCTACGATTTGATCAAAATTCCACAAAAATCGGACAAGGATTAAAAAAGTTACAGGAAGAAAAATTTTGATGCTAACATTTCGGAACATTATTCTACGATTTGATCAAAATTCCACAAAAATCGGACAAGGATTAAAAAAGTTACAGGAAGAAAAATTTTGATGCTAACATTTCGGAACATTATTCTACGATTTTATCAAAATTCCATAAAAATCGGATAAGTATTTTAAAAAATTTACAGGAAGAAAAATTTGGATATTATTTCTTGGTGGCCGTGTTTTTCTGCCGGTGAGTGTACATTAAAAAAGCGCATTTTTTTTTTAGAATCGTAGGAAATTAACTATTGGATTGATTGATCGATTCCATGATTTTTGCAGGGACGCGGGCAAATCGAAGCCGGCTTTCGGCGACCGCAAACGCTACCAGTTGCCGCCCGCAGGCGCCGGTCTGGCCCTCAGGGCCGCCCAAAGGGACGTCGACGAGGGGGCGGACATGCTGATGGTGAAGCCCGGCACGGCCTACGCGGACGTGCTGCGGCGCATCAAGGACGCGCACCCCGACCGGCCGATGTTCGTGTACCAGGTGTCGGGCGAGTACGCGATGATCCTGGCGGGGGCCAAAGCGGGGGCTTTCAAGCTGAGGCCGGTGCTGATGGAGATGTTGGGGGGTTTGAGGAGGGCAGGTAATTTATTCATTTATATATTTTTTTCTCTCGTTCTTTCTTGTAATCTTTCTTTCGTTCTTTCATTCTTTCCTACTGTCTCTCGTTCTTCCTCTCTTGTTTTTTTGCTTTTTTCATTCGTTCTTTCTTTTTTCTTTCTTCCTTCTTTTTCCCCTTTTTTCTTTTTTTTATTCTTCCTTTCGTTCTTCCTTCCTTTATTGGTTTGTTCTTTCGTTCCTTTCTGCTTTGCTTTGTAGGTGGATGTTATTGAATATTCGAATGTAGTTTCCAATTCTGGTAAAATTTGGCGCACCTGGACCGGCCGATGTTATTGTACCAGGTGTCGAGCGAGTACGCAATGATCCTGGCGGGGACCAAAACGGGGGCTCACTAGCTAAGGCAGGTTCTGATGGAGATTTCGGGGAGTTTGAGGACGGCAGGTAATTTATTCATTTATTTATTTCTTTTTCTCGTTTTCTTTCTCTCGTTTCTTTCTCTTCTGTCTCTCGTTCTGTCTATCTTGTTTTTTTGCTTTTTTCATTCCTTTTTTCTTTTTTCCCTTATTTGTTTCTCAGTTCTTTCTTTTGTTTTTTATTTCTTCCTTCTTTTTTTCCTTTCTTCTTTGTCTTTCCCTTTCTTCTTTGTTTTTTCATTCTCTCTTTCTCTCGTTCTTTCTTTGTTTATTTATTTTTATTTCATTTTAGATAAATAAAAATGAATAAATAATACGAGCTGAGGCCGGTCCTGATAGGGATGTTGAGGGGGTTTAGGAGGGTAGGTTATTTATTCATTTCTTCCTTCCTTTTTTCTTTCTTTCTTTCTTTCTTTCTTTGTTGGTTCGTTCTTTTGTCCCTTTCTGATTTGCTTTGTAGGTAGATTTTATAGAATATTTGAATGTAGTTTTCAATTCTGGTAAAATTTGGTGCATCAAGGTGTCGGGCGAGTATGCGATGATCCTGGTGGGCGCCAAAGCGGGGGCTTATGAGTTAAGGCCGGTGCTGATGGAGATGTTTGGCGGGCTGAGGATGGCAGGTGATTTATTAATTTTTTTCTGTATTCTTTATTTTTTCATTATTTCTTGCTTTCTCCATTTCCTTTCATTCTCTCTTTCTTTGCTTTTAAAAGAAAAGACAAACTTCAAGTCGGTCGACAACACTTTATCCAATATATAAAATTCTCCTGTCCCGGTCACGGTGTTAGTGGTGGAACTCCTCCGAAACGGCTCGACCGAATCGTATGAAATTTTTTGTGCGTATTCGGTAGGTATGAGAATCGGTCGTAATCTATTTTTTGAATCGAAAATTCAAGATGGCGGATCCAATATGGCGGAGGAGTATTGTTATCCGATTTCATTCAAAATTAGTATCTGGGGGTTTTTGGGGTCGGAGATTATGATTCTTTCGTCAAATCTTGAAAATTCAAGATGGCGGATCCAATATGGCGGACGAGTTTTTTAATTATGGTCAGATTCCATTCACAATTGGTATCTGGGGGGTTTTCGAGGTCGGAGATTATGATTTCTTCATCAAAATTAGGAAATTCAAAATGGTGGATCCAATATGGCGGACGAGTTTTGTAGTTATGATCCAATTATATTCAAAATTGGTATCTGAGGGTTTTCGGGGTCGGAGATTATGGTTCGTTCGTCCAAATTTGGAAATCCAAAATGGTGGTTTCAGACTAATGAGAGCTAAAATACAATATCAATGATGCGGAAACATAAAAGGTGTTACCAAAAAAACAAACATATTACGGGTCAGAAAAACAGAACCATTGAAATTGAAATTATAAAAAAATAAAGTATGTCTGTAAATATTAATTTTGATCAAGAATCTTCTTTTCCTATGCTTTTAATATTATTCCACTCTCCCATGTTCTTTATTTCCCGTTATTCCCATCAGTAATAATACTCTTCCATATAAAAATCATGTCAGATCAATTGCACAAGCTGCTTTATAAAAACTCGGATTTTTATCCGGAGAAAAAAAGTAGTTGACACCTCAACACCTTATTATGATAAACAAAACATAGATCTGGGCCATTTTCTAGAATACTGTTCCCACAAATAAGTGGTTCGGCACCCAAATATACGCTGATGCCATATACGTATTAATAAACAATACGGATCATAACGGGTGCCAGGATGAAGCCAAAAATATGAAACAAATGAATATCCATAAGGATTCGGTGGCATGATACGCATGCGCCATGCGCTATCATAGTAGTCATCAAAGACATGCGTTTCGGTGGACAATGACGTTTACTAGCCTTTCAATCAAAGCAGTATGTGTCTGATCGTTTCAAAAGGTCATGCCATTCTTTCCTTATGGATAGTCATTTGTCTTCAAAAATCGGCTTCATGTTTCGCTATGGAAACAGATAGAGATTATCCGTATTGATTATTAATACGTATATGGCTGATGCTCTTAGATTCTATTCAGAGAAGAGCCATTCACCTGGTTGGTGATGCCAGACTCACTAATTCCTCAACATTATTGGAACACCGCAGGAAAGTCAGCAACCTTCCACTTTTCCATGGATACTTCCACGGGAAATATTCTTAAATCTTTCATCCTAAAGATAGATACCTGAGTCTATGGATTAATAATTGATGATTTTCAAGATTTACCGAAGACTGGAACCTTTGGCACGATAATACACTACACCAGTGGTCGCCAAACTTTTTTAATGGGGGGCCAGAAAATTTAAGAAATTTCAGAGGAGGGCCAGAGTTATAGGAAAAATGCATTTTGTGTTGAAACATTCAATCGTATACAGTGTGTCCCACTTACCATGCTCACCATGGGTATCTTTTTAACGGTGAGAGATACGAGGTCGGTTAAATGACACCAAATGTGGAGTTTGTCAAGGCCAACTATAATGTGAAAAAATATTTTCATAAAATCTATCCGTTTTTGTTTTATACGCAAAAAACAGATTTTGATCATTTTCATGTCTCCTCCGTAACTTCTTCATTCATGAAAATATACAAATAGGAATTTCACATTCTCATGGCAGTTTTTCAAAGTGATTTCGAAAAAAATATGAAATACCAACTCTTCTAGAATTTGAGATATCAGCGCCAACTTTAGTTTTTCAAATGTAGCTCATAGCTCACTATGACTTAGTTACAAATAACTTTTTTTTCTCTTACAGATGATATTATTATGTCGCAGTAATAGTTTTGTGTTGATAACAACGGAGTTATCGTCATTTATACTAAAACAAAAAATAATTTGGAAGCCGCCATCTTGAATTTATAAATTTTAACAAAAAAAATATGATCTCCGACCTCAAAAACCCCCACTTACCAATTTTGAATGGAATCGGACCAAATCTTGTCCGCCATCTTGGAGCAGCCATTTTTTTTAATTTCAACAAAAATTCCATAACTTGAAATTTGGCAGGTGTTCATAATTTCGGTGACAATACATTATGGAATTTTTGTTGAAATTAAAAAAAATGGCTGCTCCAAGATTGCGGACAAGATTTGGTCCGATTCCATTCAAAATTGGTAAGTGGGGGTTTTTGAGGTCGAAGATCATATTTTCATTGTTAAAATTTATAAATTCAAGATGGCGGCTTCCAAATGATTTTTTGTTTTTGTATAAATGACGATAACTCCGTTGGTATCAACACAAAACTATTACTGCGACATATCATCTGTAAGAGAAAAAAAAGTTATTTGTAACTAAGTCATAGTGAGCTATGACCTACATTTGAAAAACTGAAGTTGGTGCTGATATCTCAAATTCTAGAAGAGTTGGTATAAATTTCATATTTTTTTTCGAAATCACTTTGAAAAACTGCCATGAGAATGTGAAATTCCTATTTGAATATTTTCATGAATAAAGAAGTTACGGAGGAGACATGAAAATGATCAAAATCTGTTTTTTGCGTATAAAACAAAAACGATTAGATTTTATCGAAATATTTTTTCACATTATAGTTGGCCTTGACAAACTCCACATTTGGTGTAATTTAACCGACCTCGTATTTCTCACCGTTAAAAAGATACCCATGGTGAGCATGGTAAGTGGGACACACTGTATAAACATTACAGCAATACACACTTGCACAAATATCAAAAGTTGCAAATTAACTTTTATTCAATGGCCCTGCCATGGTAGGCGTGTGAGACATATGAAATTGCTTTCGATTTGACATAATATTTTCGAATGCAGGTTCGAGCTGTGATGAAGTAAATTTCAGCAGCGTGAAAAGGTGTTCATCAGTAAGTCGGTTTCGATTCGAGTTTTTCCTCAATTTCATGGTCGAAAAAGTCTGTTCGCAGACATATGACGATGCAAACATCGCCATAACTTTCTGGGCCCGAGCAATAATATTTGGGAATTCAGCTTTTGGCAGTGTTCAATAAAAATAAAGTTTTGTGGAATTTAAAAACAGTTGTTTCAAATGGGTGCTGCACTGCATTTCAATTGTTTCCAGCTGCAATTCTGCAGAGACATTTTTGGGATCTACGTTGAAAGGCATCGAGAAAACATCTAGCGATGACTGAATGTTCTTAAAATCTTGAAACCTACTTTCAAATTCTGTGTGTAGATTTTTCAACGCCTGACTGAATTCATTCAGTTTGTTTTCACTCACTGGTGCCATGGATTTTAAACGCGGAAAGTGAGTCAAATCGGTATTAGCCATGCACATACAAAACAGCTCCTTTACCTATATATCTATTATTTTACTTCTTTTTTCTGGACCGTCAAATAGCTATTTGTGTATTTAGAGCACAAAGTGATAGATTGCCACTCGACAAAGAATTTTACCGCGCGATGCGGAGTGGAGCGCGGTAATCTTTGGAGAGCGGCAATAACACTTTGTGCTCGAAATACACACAAGATTTTTTCTACTAACGCAGCTTTTGGAAATAACTGCCCTGAAAGTATGAGCGATTGAAATAGTTGAAAAAGTTCTTATCCATATTATCCCATATGTCCAAAGGAAACAAAAAAAGAAAAATTGAAATTACTGACAAGCCAGAAAAAAAAGGCCTACCTAGAATTGAAACTGGACCACCTGCGTGGCAACCTGAGCTTCAGACCTCTGAGCCATAGTACGATAAACTCTGCAATCAAATTGAACATTACTTATTGATGCAATAAAATAAAGATACACTGTCTTTCTGATGACAACAAAGAGTTTAAATATAAAGTATAATTCATCGATTTCAACAGATATGCTTCATCGGGAGCTTCTTGTTGAAATTTGTTGGTATATATCTTCAGCGGTGAATGTTTTGGATTTTTCTCGCTTACATATTTACCATCTCGGAGTAACACCAATTTATCATATTGTAATTTATATTTCTTCCTTGATTTCTCCGGTAAGAGATTCAAACTCTTGCGCTTCCTGCTATATCAGGAGGTGTGTTGGATGATTCACTGTCACTATTTTCCATCATGAAAGAATTGGGGGTTTTCAAGAATAGATAAGTATGGGTTACAAAGATGTGCGAGCGTTTTTTCAGTATTTCCGCTCACGAGCGCAAATGCTGTCAAAAAATGACATTTCTGGGAAAACGTCAACTTTGTGCTGGAATTTGAAAGCGTCAAAGGCTACTTTGTTAAGCGTTTGTAGAAAAATATCATTATAGCGGGCCGCGGGCAACATACTATTCATGTCGAAGGGACCGTCGGCGGGCCGGATAAAATGCTGTCGCGGGCCAGAGATGGCCCGCGGGCCGTACTTTGCCCACCACTGCACTGTTTTACCACTAGCAAAACCGATTTTTAAAACGCCTCGACACGTGTTTGGAAGTTTTAATCTTCTCCTGAAGATGCTAACATGGTTAACGGAACACGTGTTGAGGCAGTTGAAAAAATCGGTTTGTTTAGTGGTAAAACAGTGTAGTGTATTTTCAAGATTGTTTTGATATTTTTGTTGAATGAATATGTTGAGAAATGAATTTATATCATTATATTTTCCATTTTGTTGCAGGTGCTGACGTCATAATTACTTACTTTACTCCACTGATACTAGAATGGCTGAAACCTAAAAATAAACTCTAATTTAGAATCACATAATTTGTTAATGTGTTGAAATAGTGGGTACAATTTTATTTTTTTGTTAATATACATGGTTGTTGATTTTTCATCGTTTAATTATTTGTATCGAATTCCTCCTAAATAATCCATTTCATGCGTCCATGGTTTATTGTGTCAAGTCTAATTGGGTAATGAATCATTTTGCATTTATAGGACAGAATGTTCAATTCATTAGTGATCTTGCCAGCGAGTTGTGTACATTATTTTTTCTTAACCCAGCACCAGAAACTTGTTTGCATTAATGGCACGAGCAGCAGAGCGACATGAAGATAATATTTACTATAATCATTATTTTGATTTGATTTAACTCTAATATCAAATCAACATTATTACCCTAATATTAACTTAACATCAACTTGACGTCAAATTAACATTAACTCAAAATTAAATTAATATTAACAACTTAACATTAAAATAGTTATCAAGTTAGCATAAAATCAATAGTAAACTAACATTAAGTTGAGATTAACTTGACATTAACTCAACATTGACTCAACACTAAAATCTTAACATTAAATTACTATTGAATAATCAACATTAATTCCTCATTGAATCAACATTAACTGATACTCAATAATTTTACATTAACTTGACCTCATAATAACTCAACATTATTTCAACATTTGCTTAACATTAGCTTGGCCTCAACTCAACAACATCAACTGATCATTAACTACTGTTAGTCTTCGTGTAAGAAGAAACAGTGATAGTAAGTATTAAAATATGATAATTCAGTATTATAATCATCCATACATTATACAGGGTGCCCGTTTTCGAGCTTCACCATGGGGATCTCATTTATTATAAGAGATACGAGGTCGGTTAAATTAGAGCAAAGTTGCACATTTTCATGCTGAACATTTATCTGCAAAAAAATTCGATGTGTCATTTTTAGTTTTTAAATTATTCGAAGAAAATTAAAGTTTGTGATTTTCGTTTTAATTATTCCAAGCGAAAACAGACGTTTTTGACTGGACATTCTTAAGGCACTTTTTAAACAAGGAATCTGAATCTGTCATTCTATTTTCCATGACGTTCTTGATGCCAAAGTTACAACACACAACTTTGTTTTTGCTCATGGGCGCCATATAAGATTTTTGGAAATTTTGAAGTCTTTTTATTCTGATTTTAATAATGCATTACACGATGTGATTGAATTTCCAACAACGGAGACATATGTTGGCCAGCGTGGTCACCTGATCTCTCTCCGCTGGATCAATATTTATTGGGAACTATGAAAGATTTGATTTTCAAAACTGTAACGATCGATATTGATGAGCTGAGAAGAACCATAATCACCACTTTCAGGACTAAGAAGCAATTCAGAATCTGAGGAAACGCGTAGAATTGTGTTTAGTCTTTGTTTTGTTTTGCGGAGAATAAACTTCTAGCTCATTGAGTCGTTCCTAAGGCAAAAGCATCATTTTTAAGTAGATGAACTTGATGAAAATGTGAACGTTCCAGATCCAAATTCAAATAAACTGTCAAAATTCAGCTTGTTAAACAAAACTGTTGGCGTTCTTTCCAAAGCACTCTTCGCAAAAATGTTTTTTCTCAATTTTCATCAACAGGAAATATTCGATCATAACGTATGATACATCATTGTAATAAAAAAAAACACTTTTCCAAAAATGTAAAAATCAAATATGGTGCCCACTAGAAGAAACAAAGTTGTGTGTTGTAACTTTGGCATCAAGAACGTCATGGAAGATACAATCACAGATTTAGATTCCTTGTAAAAAGGTGCCTGACGAATGTCCCAGTCAGAAACGTCCAGGTCTTTTGGTTTCCGCTGGAAAAAATAAAAACGAAAATTATGAATTTTCGTTTTCTTCCAATAATTCACAAAACCTAAAAATGACATCAAATTTTCTTCTATGAAAATGCGCAACTTTGCCCTAATTTAACCGACCTCATATCTTATAACTGATCGAGATCCCCATGGTGGAGCTCGAAAAACGGACACCCTGTATACACCAAACAATAAAGATCACGTGAGCGTGCGGGAATATTGCCACACTATAGTCGTTTTCACTTTCGCATTGCTCTGGTGGTATGAGATACTTCCTGAGCAACAACACAGTTTGGTATCTGCTGCTTTCAAAGGTATAGTCTTAGGAAAACAATCATTAAATAACCATTAGGAATTTGGCAAGGGACAAAATTTGATTATACCGGTTGATCCACCTCTATATAGACTAACAAGTATTTTTTTGTTTTGGAGAGGATCACCGACTTTAAATTTTATATGTATATCATTAAGCGACATTCAATATTTTAATGCAATTTTATCTCATCTCTGACCTGCGCCATAAACTTGTCGGTCTATAGGTACTATGCTCGTATGAGGTATGGTGCCCTATCTTGTTTGATAATGCTGATAAATTTGGATTGAATAACCATCAACATCGATGAAAACGTCGCTGATAATGAAAATTCAATTCCTTCCGCTATACCTATCACGAAAATATTCATAGAAAATGATATCATTTGATCGAACATATCATTTGATCAAAAATCGATTGATCGAGAAAACAATTAATCGAAATACCAATAATTGATCGAACTACATTTTGATGAAATATAATCATTTGCTTATAACATTCAACTGTACTTACCGATTCGTCTCAAACCCTTTGTTTACAGTGTGTCCCACTTAGCATGCTCACCATGGGTATATCTTTTAAACGGTGAGAGATACGAGGTCGGTTAAATGACATCAAATGTGGAGTTTGTCAGGGCCAACTATAATATGAAAAAATATCTTGATAAAATCTATTCGTTTTTGTTTTATACGCAAAAAACAGATTTTGATCATTTTCATGTCTCCTCCGTAACTTCTTTATTTATGAAAATATTCAAATAGGAATTTCACATTCTCATGGCAGTTTTTCAAAGTGATTTCGAAAAAAATATGAAATTTATACCAACTCTTCTAGAATTTGAGATATCAGCACCAACTTTAGGTTTTCAAATGTAGGTCATAGCTCACTATGACTTAGTTACAAATAACTTTTTTTTCTCTTTCAAATGATATGTCGCAGTAATAGTTTTGTGTTGATAACAACGGAGTTATCGTCATTTATACAAGAACAAAAAATTATTTGGAAGCCGCCATCTAGAATTTATAAATTTTAACAAAAATATCATGATCTCCGACCTCAAAAACCCCCACTTACCAATTTCGAATGGAATCGGAAAAAATCTTGTCCGCCATCTTGGAGCAGTCATTTTTTTTAATTTCAACAAATGTATTGTCACCGAAATTATGAACACCTGCCAAATTTCAAGTTAATCGGAGTTATGGAATTTTTGTTGAAATTAAAAAAATGGCTGCTCCAAGATGGCGGACAAGATTTTGTCCGATTCCATTCAAAATTGGTAAGTGGGGGTTTTTGAGGTCGGAGATCATGATATGTTTGTTAAAATTTATAAATTCAAGATGGCGGCTTCCAAATAATTTTTTGTTCTTGTATAAATGACGATAACTCCGTTGTTATCAACACAAAACTATTACTGCGACATATCATCTGAAAGAGGAAAAAAGTTATTTGTAACTAAGTCATAGTGAGCTATGACCTACATTTGAAAACGTTGGTGCTGATATCTCAAATTCTAGATTTGGTATAAATTTCATATTGTTTTCGAAATCACTTTGAAAAACTGCCATGAGAATGTGAAATTCTTATTTGAATATTTTCATAAATAAAGAAGTTACGGAGGAGACATGAAAATATTGAAAATGATCAAAATCTGTTTTTTGCGTATAAAACAAAAACGAATAGATTTAATCAAAATATTTTTTCACATTATAGTTGGCCTTGACAAACTCCACATTTGGTGTCATTTAACCGACCTCGTATCTCTCACCGTTTAAAAGATACCCCCATGGTGAGCATGGTAAGTGGGACACCCTGTATATATTCCAGGATTTTATTGTGAGAAGCTGTGAGCTAGAAATCGGCTAGAATAACCTCAAGTAAAGTATAGTGATCAACGTAATATGTCAAAATTTATGTCACATTCGCCCCCCCCCCCATATGGAGGCCCCTGTTTGGTACATCGCTTGCCTTGGGCGTGTACACCTTAGTAGAAATTTCAACTCAACCCATGTTTAAAATGATCCTTTTATACATAAATAATGATTGACGACATAATTCGATCGAAAAATCAACTGGAATGTTTTATTTTTTGGACATAAATAATAGTACCTTCTGAAAACGGACCCTCTTATGACGTAGAAAGCTCATCTCGCCATAGTTTACAGAAAATACCAAACGCCCGACGGAGACTGAGGCAACTGATTTATTAATCCTTTCAACTGTGATTTCACGCTAATAATTCACTCAGTCAGAAATCATGTATCATTCATCTCTGTCTGGAATAGTCTTGTTTCAGTATTAGGGTTCTGACGTCACCCAGACAGCACTGGATATTCCTAGAATATTCTCTAAATATGCTAAAAGGGAAGAATATATTCCGAATATCCTTCGAATATTCTTAGAATATATACGTGCCTCTGGAACATTCAAGGAATATTCAAATCTGAATATTCTAGTAATATTCCAAAATGAATATACAGGGAATATTCCAGAAGGAATATTCTGAAGTGAATATTCCTAGAATATTCCAGTTGGATAATGCAGGGAATATTCAGGTATGAATATTCCAGGAATATTCCCAATTGAATATTCTGTTCCTGTATATTCATGGAATATTTCAATAATATTCCCATGTGTTTCAATGAAATTGTAAAGTATGAAAATTAACCAATCACAATTTTATAGATGTGAGTATTAAACATTGATTTTGAAATCTGTGTTAGAAGTCCATCGTATTTCAAAGTGAAGTGGTTATGTTACCAGGGATCAAAAAGAAAATGTCGTCTCCACAATTTTGATAGTGATCAAAGTACTCAATCAGATCATCGTACATGTTAAGAGCCCATATGGAACTGGAAGTGTTTATGGTTCCCTTCTGAACAACGCAATTTAATAAATTGTTATGTTCAACTCGATTACTGGCCAAGTGGTTAAGGCGTTGATCTGACAGTCTGA